GGATTGGCTCATCTCCTTGGAGGCCCAGGGCAGTGCTAATGGCAGCCATCTCTCTATCTTTGATCCTAACCTGAGCACCTCTATCTACATTCTTTCTGTCTGTTTGATTTCTTCTTGTCTCTTAGTGATGGATGTGTGTGTGTGTGTGTGTGTGTATGTGTGGCAGATAGAAAGGTAACAGAGTTAATGATTAAGTGAAGGGGACATGTATATTTTATATACTAAATAAGATTTCTTAGGTGTTCATTTCTCCTCTCTTTTGCATTTTATCAGGTGGCAGCCTGGTTACCTTGACCTTTCACTGTTTCTGGCTATATCCCTGTTTTGCCTGTCAACTGCTCACAAAAGTTTTATATTAACTGTGTAATCTGGCACATTCTCAGGCCTGGTTTCTTTGTCTATGTTTAATTTTGTCTCTAATTGTTGAAGTCTAATTGCAGAGGTAAAAGTTGTTTTTGCAAGATTTCCTATTGATTTCTTTAATCAAGGTTAATGAGATCTCATTTTATTCTTTTTTTGCCTGCAAATGATCCCTTGTCCCTACACCATGAAAAAGAGTATTCAAAGAAATACATGAAAGCCAATCCAGTTTTGCAGAAAGTCCTGAGGGGAATCTTAGACAGAGTTAATGAGGTAAATACCACTTAAGAGCCCAAGGAGAGAACATACTAACTGTAAGAGTAAAACAAAAAATAAAAGAATCAGCACTGCAAAATAATACAATAACAAGATTCTGTAAGTACCTTTCAATAATAACACTGAATGTAAATGTCCTTAACTTCCCAATTAAAAGACAAAGATTGGCACATTGGATAAAAAATTGCTACTTTATTACACCTACAAGAGACATCTCTCATCTACAAAGAAACACATAAACTGAAAGAAGAAGAATAGAAAATGATCCTCCACACAACCAGAGCCCCAAAACAAGCACTTGTAGTTATTCTAATTACTGACAAAATGGACTGCAAACCAAAACTTATCATAAAAGACAATGAAGTTTACTACCTATTGATAAGTGGAAAGATTCAACAGGAAGAGATAAAATTCTAAAATTATATGCACCAAATATCAGCATAATCAATTACATATAACAAACAGAACCTAAAAGGACAAGTAAATACTAATACAAAGTGAAGAACTTCAATATTTCATATAAAATAGATATATCAAAAGGAAAAATCAACAAAGAAATATCAGAGTTGAACCAAACCATAGAATAAATATATTTATCAAATATGTAATGAAGGTTTCATCAAAAAATAAGAGAATATACATTGCTCTCAGTAGCCTATAGAATGTTCTTCAAAACAGAGAATATTTTGGGCCATAAAAATGTTTAAATTAATATAAAATAATTGACCTAATCTCTTGCATCCTGTCAAATCATAATAGAATGAAACTAAAAATCAACAGCAAAATTAATGATTACAGTAACACATGGAGATTAAATAACACACCTTTGTGTGATCTGAGTCATAAAATATATTGATAAATAAATTAAAATATTTCTAGAAAAGTTATAATGTTAACAAAACATATTAGAACTTGTGGTGCACAATGAAAGCAGTTTTAAGAGGAAATTCTATAGCTGCAAGTATCTATATTAGAAAAACAGAGCATTATCAAACAAATAACCTAGAAAAAATCTTAAGGTCTTTGAAAAATAATTTGTTCAAAGAAATAAAAAAGATCAGAGTGGAAACCTGTGAAGTAAAGACTAAAATAATTTAAAAGATGAAAGAATAAAAGTTAGTTTTTTGAAAGATAAAATAAATTAACCCTTAACCAAACTTATCAAAAATGAATTAAAAGACCCCCATCAATGAAATTAAAATGAAAAGGTCAAAATTATAACAGCTACCCCTGAAATTCTGAATACTGTAAGAAAATATTTTTAAAACTTAAAGAAATTAAGCAATGTGACTAAAATTGATAGTCATTGACAAATATAACATGCCAAAATTGAACTATTAATATATTTTTAAAAATATGTACATAACAATATAAAGCAATGAAATTGAGACAGTAATACAAACATTTTTTAATAAGAAAAGCTTAGGACTTGTGAACTCACCACTGAAATTTACCAGAACTTCAGAGAAGAATTAATGCCTATACTCTTGAAACTCTTTCATGAAATTGAGAGGGAAGGAACACTATCAATCTGAGTCCATAAAACTAGCATAAACATAATTCTAAAAGTGGACAAAGATTCAACAGAAAATGAAAATTATAGGCCAATATTATTTATGAATATATATGGAAAAAATTCTCAGAAGGATATTTTCATTCAGAATACAACAGGTCTCTAAAATGATTATAGATCATGTCCAAGTCAGTTTCATCCCATAGACTCAAGAGTAGTACACCATATATAAACAAATATAATACACCACATAAATTATGTTAAAGGTAAAAATCATAACATTCAGAATAAATTCAGAAACAGCATTATTAAATATAGCACTTTTATCATAAAAATCCTGGTGAAAATAGATATTGAAGGGCCATTCCTCAAACTGATAAGAGCCATTTATGACAAACTCATAGCCAACACCATACTAAATCTGAACAAAACTGGAATAATTCCCTCCAATTTCAGAATTGAGGCCAAAGCAATCACTAAAGAGAAAAAATTAAAAAGGATATGAATAGAAAAGGAAGGAATCAAACTAACTCCATATGCAAGTGATGTGATTCTTTACACAGTGAAACCTCCCCTCCCTAAATCTCCACCACAAGACACTTAGAACTAAGCAACAAATTTACTAGAATGATAGGATAGATCAACACACACACACAGACAAAAATAACTTTTTTATACACTGATTATGTACCTATTGAAAAAGAAATCAGTAAACTTAAATACCTAAGAATTAACTTAACCATGGAGGTGAACAATCTTTATAATGCAAAATATAGTACTCTGAAGAAAGAGATCACAGAGGATGTTAGAATAGAAAAAATCCTGTTTCTGCATAGGCAGAAATAATACCTTTAAAATAACAATATACCAAAAGTGACCTACAAATTTAATTAAATTCATGGTAAAATACCAAATATATTCTTCACTAAAATAGCAAAAATCCTAAAATTTGTATGGAACAAGAAGAGTCCTGCAATAGACAAATTCATCTTTTTTGTTTTAGAAAAAATATTAACTATAAGGGCTTTAATATCTTTTTTCTCTCTTTCATCCATTGATTGGCCTGAATTAATTTAGAATATTAAAAACTTTATCATTTAAATAAATATGGAATTTTTGGCTTATTTTCATTAATTTTATTGGCACATTTTAGTTATACATTATGATCATATTCATCATTAGGAACTTATACATAATATATCTTGGTTATTTTTTTACCATTCTCCTTTCCTTCCTTCCATGCCTCCACCTCTCCCTGTTTACAAAAAACTGTTTGAATTTTTTCTTCTTTCATAATTTTTTTCTTTCCCTTCTTTCCTTTACCCTATACCCCTCAGCACACTTCCCCTTCCACTTTGGATCTTTTCTTCTTATTTCACATTATCTCTTATACATTTGGGTTCTCATTTACACTTTCTATATCTCACACTAGTTAAACTATTTGATATTTACACATGTGGGTCCTATTTATTTCACTTAAGCATATAGCCTCAATGTGCATCCATGTAGCTATGTCTCTAGCATATCATTCTTTACGGTGGATTAATACTCCATTTTACAAAAAAAACCCACACTTATATCCAGTCACCAGTTGATGGGCAATTGGGCTGTTTCCAACATTTAGCTATTACAAATTGTACCACTATAAATATAGGTGTGTATTATCACTGTGGTATGATGCTTTTAATCTGTTTGGGAAGATACCCAGCAGGGGAATAGCTGGGTCAAATGAGACCTCTAATCCTAGTTCTTTGAGAAATCTCCGCACTGATTTCCACAGTAGTTGCACCAGTCTACACTTCCATCAGCAATGGAGGAAAGTTTCTTTTTCCACACAGCCCATCCAGCACTTGTTATAGGTTGATATTTTGGTGGCAGCCATTTTTTCTGGAATGAGGTGGAACCTCAGCATTGTTTTCATTTACAACTCTTGAATGACCAGTGATGTTGAACATTTCTTCATGTTTATTTCTGTTTCTACTTCTTCATCTGAGAAATGTCTGTTCATTTCAGATGCCCATTTTTGGATTGGGCCTTTATATTTGGGAGGTCTGATTTTATATATTCTAGATAGTAGACCTTTATTTGAGGAACAGCTGGTAAAAATATTTTCCCCCAATGTGGGTTTTCTATCTACACTGTTGGTGGTTTCTCTTTCCACACAGAAGCTTTTTAATAAGATGATGTCCCAGTTGCTGATTCTTTGTTCTAGTTCACATGCAGCTGAAGTTTTATTTATAAAGTTTTTTCTACACCAATTTCTTCAAAAATTTTACCTAACTTCTGTTGCAGTACATTAATTTTTTCTATTTTAATATTTAGATGTTTGATTCATTTTGATTTTAGTTTAGGGCACAATGAGAGATAAAGGTCTAGTTTTAATCTTTGGAAAATTAAAACCCAATTTTTCCAACACCATTCATTAAAGAGGCTATCTTTTCTCCAGTGAGCTTGTTTGGCCTTTTCTCAAAGATGAGATGCATGAGTGTGTCTGAAGTTGCTTCTGCATCTTCTACTCTGTTCCATTGATCCTCAGGACTTTTTCTTTGCTAATACCATGCTGTTTTTATCACAGTGGGTTTGTAGTATACTTTCATGTTGAGGATTGAGATACCCTCTGCCTTCTCTTTGTTGTCTTGAATTGCTTTTACTATTCTGGGTCTCTTTTTCTTCCAAATGGGTTTTTGCAGTGTTTTCTCTAGTTCTATGGAATATACTGCTGGAATTTCCATTGGGATTGCATTAAATATACATAGCTATTATCAAAGTATAGCTATTTTCCCTATATTGGTTCTTCCTATGCAAGAACAAGGGATATCTTTCCATTTTCTGATATTCACTTTGATCTCACCAAAGCCATTCAGTAAAGTGTGCAAAGCAGAAGGCAAGATGGTCCAAAATGCTAAGTTACACTACAAAGATATTTATGGAAAGATTACCAGAATGGTATTGGCACAAAAATAGACAGATAGGCAAATGAAATGTATAAGAAAACAAGAGAAAAAAATACTTTTTACCATCTGATTGTTCACAAAGAGGCTAAAAACCTAAATTAGAGAAAAGATAACAATTTTAACAAACTGTGCAGGGAAAACTGGCAATTCACATACAGAAAATTGGAAATAGCCTGGTGTTTCCAATCCTGTACATTGCCACTAGATAAATGGAAATTTTAACTACACAGGGATTTCATCTTATGCAAGAAAGAATGGCAGTACACAAGAAGTCAAAGTATAACAAATGCTGACTTGACAGTGGTGAAGAAGAAACTGTCCTACATTGTTGATGTGAATGTAGACTATATAACCTTTGTGGAAATCAGAATGAAGATTTCTCAAAGACCTAACAGAAATTCCAAACCCAAAGGTCATACAAGGGAGAAAATTATAAAGATCAGAGCAGAAATCAATGCAATGGAGACTAAGAAAATGATTCAAAAAAATAATAGAGCTGAGTTGGTTCTTTGAAAGAATAAACAAAATTGACAAACACTTAGCCAATCTTATCAAAAAAGGAAAGAAAAGGCCCAAATCCATACAATTAGGATGAAAAGGGTGAAATTACAATAGACCCAGCAGAAATCCAGAGTATCATCAATACCTACTTCAAGAACCTATACACCAATAAGATGGAAAACACTGAAGAAACACACAGATTCCTAGTTAGGTATGAATTACCAAAGTTGAACAAAGAAGACTTAAAAATTCCATACAACCCAATATCAATCAATGAAATTGAAAATGTAATTAAAATCTTACCAACTAAGAAAATCCCAGGCCCTGATGGTTTTACTGCTGAATTCTACAAGACATTTACAGAAGAATTACTGCCACTTCTGTTTGAACTCTTCAATGAAATAGAAAGGGAAGCAATACTCCCAAATTCATTCCTGGAAGCAAGCATCACTTTGATCCCCAAATCAGAGAAAGACCAAACCAAAAAAGAGGCCTGTAGGCCAATTGCAGTAATGACCATAGATGCAAAAATTCTCAATAAGATACTGGCAAACAGAATGAAGAAGATCATCTAGAAGATCATGCATCCTTACCAAGTGGGATTCATCAAAAGGTTTTTGTCCTTGGCTCTATTAGTATAGTGTATTACATTTAACATAGACAAATCAATAAATGTAATACATTATACTAATAGAGCCAAGGACAAAAACCTTATGATCATCACAATAGATGCACAAAAGGCATTTGATAAAATACAATTCATGATAAAACCCTAGAGAATATTGGAATAGTTGGTCTCTATCACAACCTGATAAAAGCCATCTATGAAATACCAACAGCCAATATCATACTTAATGGTCAAAAACTGAAATCCTTCACACTAAAATCAGGAACAAGACAAGGAATGTTCACTATCACCACTCCTGTTTAATATAGTTTCAAAGACATTAGCTACAGCAATTAGAAAAGAGGAAGAAATAAAAGCAATAAAGATAGGAAATGAATAAGTCAAATTGTCATTGTTTGCAGATGACCTGATACTCTATATAGAAGAAACCAAGAACTCCACCAAAATTCTTCTAGACATAATAACCAAATTCAGTAAAGTAACTGGATATAGGCTCAGCACACAAAAATCAATAGCTTTCCTCTACACGAACAACAGACTCACTGAGAGAGGAACTGGAGAAACAATTTCTTTCAGAGTAGCATCCAAAAACTTGAAATACCCAGGAATCAACATAACAAAAGAAATCAAAGACCTCTACTCTGAAAACTATAGCACTCTGTAAAAATGATCAAAGATGATATCAGAAAATGGAAAGACAACACTTGGTCCTGGATAGGAGGAACCAACATACTGAAAATGGCCATACTACCAAAACATCTATATAGATTCAGTGCAATCCCAATTGAAATTCCATCAGCATAGTTCACAGACCTTGAGAAAACTACCCAAAAATTCATTTTGAACAAGAAGAGAACTAGAATAGAAAAAGCAATTCTAGTCAACAAAGTCAAGGTAGGGTGTATCTCAATCCCCAACTTGAAAGTATACTACAAAGCTACTGTGATAAAATCAGCATTGTACTAGCAACGAAACAGGCCAGAGGATAAATGGAACAGATTAGAAGATACACAAGCAACTCCAGACACATTCAGACATGTCATCTTTGACAAAGTGTCAAACACCCTCACTGAAGAAAAGATAGCCTCTTTAATAAATGGTGCTGGATAAACTGGGTTTCAATTTGCCAAAGATTAAAAATAGACCTATATCTCTCACCATGCACTAAACTAAAATCGAAATGGATTAAATATGTAAATTTTAAAACAGAAACACTAAACAAACTGGAAGAGAGGTTAGGTAAAACTCATAAAATCATTGGCATAAGAAAAGATTTCATGAACAAAACCTCAGTCACATGTGAACTAGCACAAAGAATCAACAGGTGGGATCTCATCTTATTAAAAATTTTCCACACAGAAAGAGAAACCACCAACAGCATGAAGAGACAATCCTCAGTATGGGAAAAAATTTTTACCAACTGTTTCTCAAGCAAAGTTCTACTATATAGAATATATAAAGAACTTTAAAAAAATCACACCTAAATTTAAAGACTCAATCCAAAAATGGG